TGAGTCAACCTTGAGCCGGTGAGATTAGAACCGCTGAACTGCAGACAACAGTCAGCTGAAGTGGCCTGCAGTACTGCACCCTAACCACTGCGCCATCTCGGCTCTTCAAACCTATATCACTTCCATTCCAAAAACACTTTAAGGAGCAGGCATGTTTGAGCGAGTCTGATGGCGCTGTAGTTCCCCAAGTGAATTGGTGGGGGCAAACATCACTCCAGCCAGCTGTTGCTTGGATTTCCTGGTGATCAGGCAATTCCAGTGGCTTTCGAGGGAACCCGCGGCTCCCAGAAAGGCCCCTTTATATACACGCTGCCTTTATTTTGAATACTTTCTGTGACTTAGGCGTAAACGTGTGAGACCATGTGCTCCATCTGAAGTTTGCAGTGTGGGGGGCCCTGAATGCCATTGCTGCAAGGCTTCGCACTAACTTTGATCCTTCTGGTTCTGTGTCCTAGTGGGAAGCAGTCCATTGCCATTGACGATTGCACTTTTCACCAATGCGTGAGGCTCAGCAAGTTTGACTCGGAGAGGAGTATCAGCTTCATACCACCAGATGGAGAGTTTGAGCTCATGAGGTGAGGTTGCTGGGGGGAAAAACTCACTGTATCCATTGCTTGGGATAGCCCTCCAGTCGGTTACTTACTGAATTCTGCCTGCTTTTTTGCAAAAGAAAAAAAACAGGGCCAAGACATTTGCCAATAAGAACGAAACACAATCAGCTGGAAGTTCCTCCTAACATAGAGGGGACCAGCTTGAAGTTTTAGCATTGTACATGCTCCTGAGCCTGTTATTTTTATTTTATTTTATTTGATATGTATGTTTGTATTTTATCAACTTCCAGGGCCCCTACTGACTGTGATTATCCTGCAGCACAATTTCCTACTGTACGGAAGTAGAATACAAGCAACAACTATAGTGCAAGCTAGTAAATAGACTTTAAATACCATAAAACACAAATTCCCATTGAAGGGTTAAAAAACCCTCTATGTGGATTGTCATTTTGCACCGCCACTTTTGCAGCATGGACCTTGGAGTGCCTCCAACTGTTAACTGGGGACCCCAAAAGCATTGAGAAAACAAGCAGTGTTGACGCAGCTTGGCTAGCGGAAGGCCTCTCTCAGTAGAAATAGTTTGTCTTCTGTTGGGAGAATAATTGGGACAGGCTGAATTTCTTTAGAATTAGATTCAAAAGCCCGGAAGTCAATTTTTAGGTCGTGTGCCCCAAATGTGCCACTTTGAAATATGGATGTTGGATTCCCAGTCAGAATTTTGAAATTTGCTTCATAATTAGTCTCCACACCCATTTGATTCAGATGAACCTGATGACACAGATACACCTCCAGCCAGGTGACCTCAATTACTCTCTAAAAAGGATGCAAATGACCAGCTGTCTGCAAGGAGTATCAATCCTTCCCTTCCTCACCTTCCTATTAGAGCTGAGGAAGCTTCTTGGATGAGAAGCGAAACGTCTTCAAAGAAAAACCAGAAAGTCCAGTTGCCTCCTGAAAAAGCACATTTGGGAGTGCAGTAGAATGATGTCAGTGTTAGAGGGCGTGTATGCATGTGTTTGTGTGTGTGTGTGTGTGTGTGTGTGTGTGTATGTATGTGTATGTATGTATGTATGTATGTATGTATGTATGTATGGGATAGGTTGAAGACCGGAGGAAAACTGTCTCGATCCATTAGGTCCATCAGTGGCCTCTTAAAACATGAAGATTTATAGAATAAGCATCTTTTTCAGGTTAGCTAAGAGTTAAAAGAAATGGTTGAAAAATGGGACAGATAATCCGTCAGACTAAATACCAGTAAATCTCAGATAGGTTTTCAATTTACGAGTATTTGCTGATTGTGTGGGCAGTGACAGATTTCCTCTCTTCCATTTTGTTAAGTTATTGCTTGTTCTTTTCCATCAGGTACCGAACCACTAAAGACATTATCTTGCCGTTCCGTGTCATCCCGCTGGTACGTGAGGTGGGACGCACCAAGCTGGAGGTGAAAGTGGTGATCAAATCTAACTTTAAGCCTTCCCTCTTGGCTCAGAAGATAGAGGTGAGCCCCTAGCATAAACACTTTTCGTTTCGCCTCGCTACCCGTCCTTTGCCTTTGCGTCATTTGGATAAAAAAACTTTGTTTTACCCATTTTGTGTACATAGATGAGGTTAAAAATGTGATGTTGGAAATATTGGGCAGGTTGTAAATCTCAACAATATTAGGAAAATGATGCATTGCGGAATGGAACAAATTCTGAAAGTTGTAACCTTTGAAACACAATGCATGGTTTACCAAATTTCATTGAACTACACATCCTTTCAAAATGGATTGAATTGATATTCTCCAGGTCAATGTTGGCAAGAATTTTATATGCCTTTTATTGGAAAAGATCTGTTCCCTTTTCAGAAGAATGACTGACTAAATTCTGAGCGTGTGTCTTGGTGTTTAGCATAACCTTTCATTTAAAAAGTAAATCTGATATAGAATTTAATGGTAACTGGAAACCATTCTTGAACTTATACCCAGAATTATGTCACATTCAAAATTGGGTCTTTAGAGATTAATATCTATGGAGATTCTCAGTCAACCAGGGCACAGTTGTCACAAAGGTGCTTTTTCAAGAGGCAACTGGACTTTCTGGTGTTTTTTTTAAAGACGTTTTGCTTCTCATCCAAGCAGCTTCTTCAGCTCTGACTGAATGGTGGGGAATGAAAGGATTTATGTTCCTTGCAAACAGCTGGTCATTTGTATTCTTTCTTTAGAGATTAGCTCTTACCCTGATGCATAATTTAAATTATTGATTTAATGCATTATTGATGCATCAAATCTTTACTTGAATTCTCTGAACCAACAAGCATTATTAAATGCAAGTCAACAGTGACTTGAGGATTTTGATTAGAAAATAAACATGAAATGCTTTTCAACAATATGAACTTCTGATGATAAGAGCACATTTGTTCTATGATATTTAAAACTAGTTAACTTTACGCCTAGATTTCTCCATCTGTACCAGATTTGCCTATCTCTACCATCTTTTTTATAGTCTTTTAAGATACATAAAAATATCCGTAGGACAAAAGGAAACCTTAGGACATTGAACTTCAGTGATCATGGTGATTCAGAGCAGTACTAGGCACAATGACGGAGTACTTGCTGAGTTACAGGCACTTAATAAAAGCCTTGGGAAGCATAAATGGGAAGAATTCCATGCAAGGTGTGCCTTAATTGAGCTCCATCTGGGAAACTTGATCTCATCAGTGGGAAGAGAGGAAAGAGTAATGATGAAGAAGCATTGGGAAAGCAGGGAGTGACATTCAAGGGTGGAGGGAGAAAACACAGAAGTGCTACATAACAGGAAAAGACATAGAAACATAACACTTCCATAATCTTACTTTAGGCCAGGGGTGTCAAACTCAAGGCCTGGGGGCTGGATCCGGCCCACAGGGTACTAAGATCTGGACCATAGGGCCTCCTTGAAAACAGCAAAGGAGCGCCCCGTGTTGCTTCTGCCAGTGAAAACGAGCTCCCGAGCTCCATTTTCACTGGCAGAGGGTTGCAAGAGATTGTGGCAATGGAAATGGATCTCGGGAGCCCGTTTTTGCTGGCATAGTGGTTGGCCACCACAGGAGCCCCCGACACGAGTGATGTTGAGCTGGCCAAGCTCACCCCAACCCTCCCGAGGTCAAACCCAGCCCTGATGTGGCCCTCAATGAAATCGAGTTTGACACTCCTGCTTTTGGTCGCAAAGACAATGCGGCAGGGTTTGTAAATAAGGCCAGTCGTGCCATCCGTATATTGAACTTTTACTAACCAAGTTGTGCTGTGATGTTTAAGGAATTCCTTGTCCTTCTGTCAGTACAGGTAGTCCTCGACTTATGGCCACAATTGATCCCAGAACTATGATACTGAGTTGTACTAGTCGTTAAGCAGGTCACCCACATGATGGAGCCCATTTTATGATCATTTTGTGACAGTCATGAAATAAATGAGGTGATTGTTACGTAAACCCATTTCAGTCAGGGGGCCCTTTTGGGGGGGGGCAGAAACTGAAAGTAAACGTAGGGAGTTGTAAGTTGCAGTCACATGACTGTGGGACCCTGCAAAAGAGCTATAAATGTGGGATGGTTTCCAAGTGTCCAAAATACGGCCATGTGACCTGTGAGCCAAGCAACTGTGAGAACTTTGAAACCGTGTTGTATCTAGTTCTGTGGAATTCCATGGGGACTTCAACCCTAAGTTGTAAGTTGAGGCCTACTTGTAGTGCAATCCTGCCAAGATGATTTCCTTGCTCTTTCTCGGGTGTGCATTTTTGTTTTTAAGCTATCTTCTCTTCCTTTGCAAAAACAAACAAACAACTCCCCTCCCCCCATGTTTTTTTCACCTAAGCAGCCAAATGTGATTCAAATAAATATTTCTTCCAGGTGCGAATCCCGACTCCTCTTAATACTAGTGGTGTACAAGTCATCTGCATGAAAGGAAAAGCAAAATACAAAGCCAGTGAGAATGCCATTGTCTGGAAGTAAGTGGCATGGTTTTTTTTTCTGAATCGGGGCAGCTGGAGCTCTGCCCCTCTCTACCCATGTGGTCGCTGGCATTGGGAGAGGTTGTGCTTCCTTTTAGGCCAGGGCTCTCCAAAGTTGGCAACTCCCAGAATTCCCCAGCCAAACATGTGGACTTCAGCTCCCAGAATTCCCTAGCAGAATGGCTGGCTGGAAAATTCTGGGAAATGAAGACCCCAGTCTTCAAGCTGCCAAATTTGGAAACCCCTGCTTTAGGCTGAGCCTGATGAAGTGGGCTTTAGGACAGGGGTCTCCAACCTTGGCAACTTTAAGCCTGGAGGACTTCAACTCCCAGAATTCTGGGAGCTGAAGTCCTCCAGGCTTAAAGTTGCCAAGGTTGGAGACCCCTGTCCTAAAGCCCACTTCATCAGGCTCAGCCTAAAGCAGGGGTTTCCAAA